TTATTTTTGTTTCTTTAGAGTGGTTCTCAGATAAGTTTCACCAATATACTTTCTTTTTTTTTTTAATAATTATTTAGATATTGGTAAAGATTTCCAGAAAGTTAAAAGGATTGCACTATATATTATTGAATCCACACAATAATTTAAATTGACAAAGTCATGCACGGAAGTTGCAAGTTTGTCAATTTCATGTAGTTATTTTTATGAAAATAAATTGCTAGTGAGTGTGAAATATTATATTTTTACAACTCATTTTTAATATATTTTGAATGAGAAATTGCAGTCATCAAATATTTCTATCTAGAGTATTGTGTTTTAAAAATTATTTTATATTTTTCAAGCTATTGCAACATTAACATGCAAATAAAGTAAAATGATAAAAATATATATTTAATTTATTCTAGTAGCCTAAAATATGATAAAAATATTTTTGTTATAAATGTTCTTTAAGAAAGTCATAATCATGTGCATATTGCTCTGAGTCCCAGTTTGTAATTGTTAAAATAAAGAAAGATCATGCACAGAAATGGAAATGCCTATTTCAATAATTTTTTAAAAAGATAAAAAAAATTTAAATGTAGCTAATTGTATTTATATTATGAACTTATGAATGTATACTTGAAGTTTTAATGTTTTCTGCCTACAAGTTTGCGTACGCTTGCTGTTTACAAAAAGATGTTATGTTGCACGGAATGTCATCTATATTCAGGTACTGTTTTAAGGAAGGACCAATTCATTATAAAATCATCAATATTTTTATCTTTCAGTTCCCATATGTATTTTGACCGCATGGTGTCTTTTGAATACTTTTTATTTTTAAAGGATTGTTTATGGTTAGCAAAACATTTTTTCCATTCACTCTCTGTTAAGCCAATATATTGTTTATCAGACACATTCTAAGAGGAAACTCATATACCACGTTTTTTGATAAACATTTTCCACTCATTGGACAATTGTTTTTTTGTTTACAATTACAATTTTCTGCTTTTTTTTAGGATTTCTTTTTTATTTAGCAAAACATCATTGTGACCTTTTATAATTCTTTCCATATTTTTTTGCAACTGTAACTAACTTCAATTGTGTTTTGTTTAAAAATTGTAATCTATTAGAGGGCAGGAAGTGTTTATCAACAAATTTTAAAAAACACTGGAAACATTTATGCTATATGGGAGGTTGAATCAAATTATATTTTTAGTAATTTAGAAATATAATTTGGTTTTTTTCCAAAAAAGAACCAAATTGCATTTCTAAATTACTAGAAATAATTTCTAAATTTTTATTTTGCTTTTTTGTATTTTTTTTTCTAGGTCAAATTTTAGTTCAAAATTTTGAAATCCACTTTTTTTAAGATTATCTTCAAAAATTCATTTAGAGGAATTGAATACATTTTCATCAGCTGAGTTTTGGTTTGTTATTAATTGAAATCGGGATTTGTTTTAAAATTTGGGGTGGATGGTTTAAGTTAATTAATATACAATAATTTATTAATTGGTTTTTTGAAAGGCTTGTATGAATTTTTAGAGAGGTTAAATGTGATATCAAGAAAATTCACAATTTTTAAATGTATGCTTAAGTTCGATTTGAAAGCCAATATTTTAAAAAAATTTTATAAAATCCTTTCTTACTGTTGACTAGATTTTTTATGCATTACTATTAAATCACGAAAAATCTCTAAATCATTAGTATTGATTATTTTACTTAATAAATCTAAAATATATAGTCCAACAAATTCAGAAATTTCTGCTCCATCATAACTGCCCATTGTTACATCAAAGTAGTCATGTTTGCTTTTTCTTAAATAATACATATTTTTATATTAAATAATATATGTTCTTCATTTAATAAAGTTTAATAAATTTTCTGCAATATTTTATTATACAAATTGTCAATTCTGTACAGTGGGCTGGAGAAAATGAGCATCTGTGGAAATCTTTTTTTTTGCAAAATTTTCAAAGTAAATACCCCACAATAAAAAAATCTGACGTTTAAATATTTTCATTTTTGTTTTAGGAAAGTTTTCAAGCACACCCTTATAAAAAGCATTTTTTTATTTTAAATGAGTTAATACTTATAAAATTTTACAAGTTAAACGAGATAATACTCATAAAATTGAATTTTACCTCGTAAGCGCAGTTTTCTTTAATTTAATTAAAATTTTATAGTCTCAATATTAAGGTACATGCTTTATACAGAAAACTTAACAAATAAAAAAAGTCATGTATTTTATAACTTCTTTCTTAACTTGAAATATGGCAGTTAAAGTATTACAGAATATAATAAAAAGTTACCATAAAAGGCTCAATATCTTTTTTCGCCCACCTTTCCCCACTATAGGAATAACTTTTTTACATGAGGTTTCTCATTAAAAATATCTTATACAAAGTTGCACAAATTAAAGTTTAGCAGGTTTTAAACATACTACTCATTTGTCATTTTCAATTGTTTAAAGCACATTGTTGTTAAGTATGAGCTCTATATAATTAATTGCAATTACGGAAGAAACAATAAAATTTAATACTATTCCACTTAATTAAGTTATGTTATTTTTTTTATTTATAAACTTATTATCGATTGTGTTTTTAATTATCTAAAATACAAAAACTATTTAAAAACTTTAAAAAACTATAATTATATTTTTAAATTGAAATTTTATTGTACCAGTCACTATGAAAAATAAACAAATTACCCGAAAATTGTTTCGTGCTTTGGAAAACAAGTTAGTCAAATCAGTTACTGACCCTGATGCTTATAAAGTTGCAGGGCTTGGTGACATAGACTTTAAATTATTTACTAAATAATTTAACAAAAAAAAAGGAATTAAGTAAACATATTTGAATTGCATTACAAAATCTGGTTAGAAAAAGAACTACAAATAAGCGATGCATGTTTTGAAACAGATAAACTAGACAAGGGCCAAAACTCAGAGTTTGCTTTTCCTACTTCTCACAATTTCATTAAAATTAAAGTAATGGACTAATGATGTTTTTTACTATTTAATTGTGTTTTAGCAAGTGTTAATACTAAATACAATCATCTGACATTTAAATTTAAATCAGTTGTCTACGGAAGACCACCAGGTGCAAATTCCGAAACTATAAGTCTGCTGAAATATTTGGCTTAGATAAAAATCTCATGAAACGTTTCTACATAATTCTTTGTGTTTTATCATGTAAACATCAAATTAATGCAGATGAACTTGAAAAAAAAAAAAAAAACAGCAGAGCTCTGAGTTTCTCTGTTCCCACGGTTTCCAATGCCTCAAATCGTACATAAAATTCTAATTCATAGTTCTCAAGTTGTAAGAGATAAACCAGTACCAGTATGTCTTCTTTCTCAGCTCAGGAATGTCTAAATAAAGATGTTAAAAATAATAGAGAACACCATACTAGAAAATATTCAAGAAAACTCACTAATGAAGATGTAATGCGAACATTATTGTGCAGTTCAGATTTAATTATTAGCTCTCTAAGAAGGAGTTCTAGAGGTATTAAATAACTTGAACTTAACAAAGATTGTTTTAAACTTTACTTGTAACTTTTTTTTAATTTAAAGTTTTGTATATTTTTACACCGATTTCTCATAAAATATCTAATAAATAAGCGTTTCTTTGTTTATAAAAAGGGGTCTAAAATGTAAAAAACATTTTAATTAATTAATGCTTCGAATTTGGAAAAAACTGTTTCTAAAAATAACTAAAAATTATGTCTAAAATCCCTAATACCATATGCACTCTTTTCTATAAGGGTGTTAATGCCATATGCACTCTTTTCTATAAGGGTGTATAAGGGTACCTGCATCTGCAAAAAAATAGTTTTTTTTTAAACTGATCTTCATGATGGCTAGAATCACTGATAAAAATTTCAATTTTAACTTAAATTTAAAAATAAAGGAGTTATGATTTTTTGTCCATTTTTTTGTCGATCTTGGCCCACTGTGTTCTGGAATAACTGTGTGGATTTTTGCAAGTTAAATTTTTTTTTCTAAAATATCTGCAGCTATTGAGGGGTAAAAATCATTAGTGTCAAATTGAATAAATGTAGTCATTTTTATTTTCCATCGTGGAGAACCAATTTATAACATCAGTGGTATTTTTCCACTTTTGTAAATTGAATTTCTTTTATTATGGTTTTTGAAAGAATTTATCTTTAAAAAAATTTATCTTTTAAAGAACTTATCTTTAATTTAAATAACCAATTGAGGCTTTATGTAATAAAAAATGTATATTGGAAATTGCAGCTTTTAAAAGTGTAACCAATTAAGATGTATATATCAAAGACTTATATCAAAGAGTTAAATAATAAAATTGTATGTCGCTTTGTTGTGAATTGAAACTCAGACAGTGGATGATGGAGGGGGAGGGGGTGAAATATTCCCGAAGTAACTTTCTCCCCCTTCCCAACCTGTTATTTAAAATAATTAAGAGTTTAAAGGGATAACAAATTTGAAGTGGGGATAACATTGTGGCACATAGAAGTCCACTATTTGCAGTCTTTAAATAATATGTATATAAATATAAATCTTTATACAGTTAAGTGTTTAAATGTTAGTTTATAAGCATGTTGTACAGAATGATGAGGTGTACAGATATTTGTATATATATTTGTGGGTGTTTGTACACACGTGCTTGTATTTGTGTGCGTGTATATATATACATATATATATATATATATATATATGTATATATATATATTATATATATATATATATATATATATATATATATATATATATATATATATATATGTATATATATATGTATATATACATATATATATATATATATATATATATATATATATATATATATATATATATATATATATATATATATATATATATATATGTATATGTATATATATATATGTATATATGTATATATATATTGTTTAAGAAGTATCTTAAATGAAATTTATAAAATATTTAATATGAAATGCTTAATAGTGATATTAAATTTAAATTCAAAAACTTTTTATGATTGAAAAAAATTTTTTCTAATAAAGATTATTCCGAGAAATCTGTTATTTGCTCATGGATGCAAAGTTGTATCAATTGCTTGTGCTCTAGATTCCAACTTTGAACGTCCTAACATTGTTAGCTTGGCTGAAAATGGGTAAAGTAGCAGTTTAAGTATTGTTTTAATTTAGTTTTAAATATTTTGTTTAAAGAGTTTGTTTATTTACTAATTTAAATTGTATTCATTTTTTATTTCAGAGAGTTATGTTTGTGGGATATTGAAGATGGGTTGTGTTTGCAAATTAATTCCATACCTGGTGCACACACTGGTTTGAATGTTAGTATGCTATTGTAATAATACATTAAATAATGATCTCCTTGATTGTTTTTATAGGTCTCTTTTAGCAATTCATATATATTACACATACACACACACACATACACACACACATGCGGATATATACACACACACAAACACACACATATATATATATATTTATGTTGTAGCAAGTTATTTTGTTTTAGTCTATTCAATTCCATAGAGGAAATATAAAAGAATGGAGGCTGGTGTGTCATGGGCTCTACTCAGAAATACATATAATTGATTCTCTGTCTCTCCAGGTATTCATGTTTTTATATTAAAAATGATTTTTTTTTTTTCTTTTTTTGACAAAGTTTTGATTTGTTTACTAAAAAGAAGAATTAAAAACAAGTTAATTATTTAAATCTAATTTGAAATTACCTTAATATTATTTAGTTAAAGATACTTTTAACACTGTTAAGCCACATATCCTTCGTCTCCCTATCTAACATAAATATATTATTTTTTATTTGTCTCATTTTTTTTCTGGATATCTATCATTTTAGATTTTCACTCATTGACCCCATCTGCAATCTGTTTTAGCATCATCCCTCCCATATCTACCTGTATGAATGTGTCACCTGTATGTGGTCATTGTTTATCATCATTGTATTGCAGAAACAAATAAAATGCAATAGTTACAACTTTAAGAAGACTGTTAAAACAATGTTGGGCTAGAAACCGCAGTGAAAACAAGCAAACAAAAAAAGCAGAAATAATGTATTTTTTTTTATCTTAACATTCACTGATACAGTAGTGCAGTGGTTAACACCTCACAGGCAAGCAAAATAATGTTCCCATTAAATGTGAGTTTCATTTTCATAAGATCTTATTTTTCTTTAGGCTATACTAGCAATCACTACAAAAAAAAGCGAAATTCGTGGTCATAGGAGACGAAATTTCTTGTATATTTGGAATTCCTTTACTATTTTTCAGCGAAAAATAGTAAAGGAATTCCAAATTTACAAGAAATAAAGAAAATGCAAAAATTTTTTGATCTGCCAAAAATAATGGAACATGTAGATACATTTTATTCTTAAGTTTCTCAGGAAATCATGCACCCAATGCTCAATACCTCCCAAGCGACTGTAAAATTATTTATATGCATAAAAATTTTTTGGAAAAGAATCCAGATACTTCTTGTTCTTATTGTTTGTATCAGCAATAAAAAATATAAATGTTAGATTTGCTTGTTTAGGATACAAATAATGTGAGCTATGTGAAAGTTACAATATACATTTAATGGAAAGCCAAAATTTTAAAGAAAATTGTGATTTATGAACAAATGAAACTCCATAGCACCAGTCTTGTTTCCTTTTTTTTTCATCAGCTTTTGTTACAGTTTTTTTTTTATAAAAAAGTGCTAACTACTGAACAAAAGTTATCTATTAAAGTTAAATATCAAATTAGATAGTTAATTAGCTAATTATCCAAAAACTATTTATTAAATTGTTATTAAAAAAGAAAATCAAATCAAAATACAATTTAAAATGTTTTAATAAGCAAGTTGATAAAAAACTTCTCTTTTAGCAATTTGTTAATTTTTTTATTTGAATTAAAAAGTTCGAACATTTTCAGGTTTGAATGAAACTTCATGCAGTTAAAACTCATATTTATTTTTTTTAATTATTCACCTACCCAAGGCCAAGAAGTTCACTACAGTTGAGGAGGCTACTCTTTGTGGTTACAACCCTCTCTTTACTCTATAACTCCGAAACATAAACCTCAACAAACAAGGCGGCTATGCGGAGAAACAAGTTTAGCGCGGTACTACCAGGGGCGTGGTAGGGATCAAACTCTGAACTTCTTACTTATGAGGCCAGCGCTATACCACTACACCTCTACTCTAAATAAATAATAAATATTAAAAAATAACAACAACAACATTAATACTTAAAAAACATAAAACTAGCACAGTGTTCATAATGTTTTCCCCACCTACCACCCAACACAAACATGATTTCAAAGTTTATTATGATTAATTTAATCTTTTGTAACTAATAAAGCTTTTTATTATGTTGTGTTATAAGTATAGAAATTCTCCAAAAAGATATGTAATACAAGTTTTTTCTTATTTTTGCATCCATTTAGAAATTTGTTGATTTTGATTTCGAATTTTTAATTATAGATTCTCTATTCTTTAAAGTCACGCATTTCACCCAACTGGATCTCTGCTGTCTGCTTTCTTAGGCTTGCTCGTGAGCAAGGTAATATTCAGAGAGTTTAATTTTGTTGTGATTTTTATCATCTAAATATATAATAATTTATATATAGATAAAATATATTTCATCTATCTAAATAATAGATGGAACTAGACATTATGAGTCTAGTTCCATCTATACATCATATATATATATATATATATATATATATATATATATATATATATATATATATATATATATATATATATATATATATATATATATAAATATATATATATATATATATAAATATATATATATATATATATATATATATATATATATATATCTGTGTGTGTGTGTGTGTGTATTATATATATGTATTATGTGTGTATTATATATAAATATATATATATATATATATACATATATATATATATATATATATATATATATATATATATATATATATATATATATATATATATATATATATATATATAAATAACAAACTCAAGTAATAAAAAGATTTCTTAGAATAAAGTGCAATAAAGTTTAAACGCACCTTATTGATTCAATTATCTTGATTAGTATTTCAAGTTTGGTCAGTTCTTGTTTGAGCATTTTGTGACTAGTTATTTGCTTTTTTTATTAGTTGATATTCCATCCAGCTCCATAAGTTTTCAATCGGGTTTTAGTCTGGTGATCGTGCTGGCCAAGGCATAAGTTGAATATTACTTTTAAGAAAATAATCAGTGATTTAATGTGCCGTATGGCATGGAGCATTATTTTGTTGAAATAACCAGTTTTGATCAGCCTGGAACAAATCGCGAATGGGGATAAGCGCATTTTCCAAAATATCACAATACTCATACTGGTTTAATCTTCCTTCATATATTTTATGACAGCAAATGCCTGAGCCTGATATACATCCCCATATGCCGATGTGGAATGAACCACCACCTTTTTGAATACGGCTTAATTGGTGTTGCTTCAATTTTTTCTGTATTTTTGCAACGAAAAAATCTTTTTTTCTGTTAATAATTTCGAATTTTGATTCATCACTAAAGATAATCATTTTTCATTGTTCTATTGAATAATTTAAACGCTCTTTGCACCATTTTTTTCGTCATTGGCAATCGGTTAATGTCAACAAAAGCTTTCTTACACCATGAAATGAATTTAATTCTTTGTTGCATAATAACTTATTATCATTGGACTAACTATTTTATCTACCAGCTAACTATTGATTTCTGCACTTAAAGTTAATACTCCTGCTTTTGGGTTACGTTTGCTTAGCGTGTAAAGCATGTTTTGATTGCGTGCTGTCAGTTTTTTTGGATGCCCAATACAAGGTTCAAGCCTTCCCAGAAAAGGCGTGCGATTTTTTATCTCCTATGACCACGAAAACGTTTTTCAAGTTAGAGAATGTGATTACGGCCATTTGCGCAAGTTTTATTATATGCGTTGCTGAAAAATTGTTTTAAATTTAATAACTACATAAGAAATTAAAGTAAACTTGAATAGAAAACAATAATAATAGTTTAAATAATTTAATTAAATAAATAATTTGTGTTGTTTTTTTTATTTTTTTTCTTAGTGGTTATTATGATCGACAACAAAATTCATTAAGTCAAAGCAAAAAAAAAAAACAACAAAAAAAAACAAACAGTTTTAGGCGTTAAAAAGGATGACTTTCCCATATTTTATGTGTTTTTCCTTTTAAAGAGGAAAGAGAAAATATGTATCGTCATCTGTTTGTAAAATATATTTGTATAACTATAACGTAACAAGTTTATCTCAAGAGTTAAATTATACAATCGCAATTGCAAACTCTGTTAAAATATTAGGTCTTTAAAATTTTAGTTCATGCAAAGCTGTGTACTTTGTTTATAAGGAACAAATTGTTAAAATTTGCTAGCGAGAAAGTTACAAAAAACAAAACAAAAACAATAAACTTACGACTACAAAAGTAATAACACTTGAGTCACTAGCTGCATTATAAAAGTAATAAAACTATAATAGCATTATTACATTTATAAAGCAATTATTACTTTTAAAGTTCATTCTTTGTTAAAACAACATTATTAATTCCAAACATTTAACAAAGTAGAAAAGCATCTAGAAAAAATAAAGCGGAAATTCAAATATTATTAAAAATTTCAGTAACTTTCACATATCACTTAAACAACGTTATAAAAAAGTACTTTATAAAAGTATAGCATTATGAAAAACGTTACGTAAAAATGCACATTAATTTTCAAATCAACCAATAAAAAATTTTTATTGGCTAAGTTTAAAATTAACGCGTGTTTTTACGGTCCATTAGTAACATTTTTCATAATGCTAAACTTTTAATACGATACGTTTTTATAAAGTTGTTTGTCACATTTTTATAAGTTATTTAAGTTTTAATATTATTTGAACATCCACTTTATTCTTCTAGATATTTTTCTACTTCAATTAAAATTTGGGAATACTAATGTTGCTTGAGCAAAGAATGAATTTTAAAAGTTATAAGTGCGTTATAAAAGTAATAACACTATTATAGTGTTATTACTTTTGTAATGCAGTTAGTGACTAGAGTGTTATTACTTTTGTAATCGTAAGTTTATCGTTTTATTTTTTATTTTTTCGCTAACAAATTTGAGTTGATTCTCCCCTTAAAAACAAGGAACACGGTTTTGTAAAAACTAAAATTTTGAATACTAGATATTTTTCCTGATTTTGTGTTTCGCATTCACTTAATTCAACCCTTGTTGTTACATTAAAATTATACAAATAAATTTTACAAACACATTGCAATTTGTATTTTTGCTATCCTCTTAAAAAAAATTAAGAAACAGAAAATCATTCTTTTTATTGTAGACTTCAAACTGTTTTTTTTTTGCTTCGCCTTATCTAATTTTGTTGCTGAATGTAACAACCATTCTAAAGAAACAAAAATAAAAACAGTACACAAGTTATTCAAATTATTAATTTGTTTTTATTTTTTTATTTTTCAATCTCTTTTAATTTTGTTAGTCTTGTTTTTTTTGTTTTTGAAACTTTTTCAGCACTATTATAAAACTTGTAAACGGCCGTGTTCAAGTTGTCTAAAATAATATACTCGTGTGTGGTCATATGAGACGAAAAACCCCACGCCTTTCCTGGGAAGGCTTGATGTTTATCATTGACACTACCAGTTGATAAATAATTTTTTATTGTTGTGCGAACGCTGAATTCAGAAATATTTAGGTGTCTGCCAATTTCTCTAATGCTTATTTTCATTTTATGCATTCCAATGGCTTGCCATTTTGTTTTCGATGGAACAGCTTTTTTACCCATGAAAATATGATATTTTGACAAAGTTGGATCAGTTGAAAATTGCTGGATTTTGAATCAAATTTTAGTTGGGATTTTTGTTCAAAATAAAATAAGAATCTAAACTAATGTTAACAGGCTGTTGAGTTATAAAAATGCAAAAGACTTCAATAAAAAATCTCTCAATAAACGCACTTTAATAAGAAAGTTACCCAATTTTCTTATGAAAGTGCGTTTAAAATTTATTTCAAAAAATTGAAAGGATTATTTATTTCAAATAATTGCTCTGTTAATTTTCTCATCACCCTCCACCTCCATTATAATATTCATACAATTTTTTTTTATATCTAAACAAATAAATTATAGCCATCGTGTAAATAAACATAAAAATACAGAGCACATCTCATCAATTTATCTGGTTATCATTTCTTAAAAGTATTATATACGTTAAAAAAACAAGTGCCTTTTAACTTTCTGTACAAGGTGTATATATATATATATATATATATATATATATATATATATATATATATATATATATATATATATATATATATATATATATATATATATATATATATATATATATATATAGGCTTGGTCGGGAAGTGGGTGTGATCGCACTCAATAACTGACCACGGAAATAATATTTAGTTGAAAAAAACCGGCCAGTTATTTTAGTCCTTTTAAGAACATTTAAATTTATGTATGTTTCCTTAATTAAGTTCATTATTTTAACGTAAATTTTGAAATACTTTGTTTACTTACATACATGGAAACAAATATAAACTCGAATGTTCTTAAACAAATTGTTGTGCGGAAAAGTAAAAAAAAAACACAAAAAACCTGCCAAATCTACGAACAACTATTTCTATTGGTTCAAAAAATACTAAACAAAATTTCTAATAATAAATTATAATTAATCATCAAAGTTAATACAATTAATTTTAACCACTAATCCATTTTCCTCAGTGTACCCGATATCTGATTCTTTCCCCCAAGAAAGAAAAGTTTTTAAGTTCTTAGAAATTGGTTTACTAACTTCAATTATTTTTGCTTCAGCCATTCTTACAAACTTGTTATACTTGAACTTAAAGTTACTTTTTTTTGTTTTAAATAGTAATTAAAATTATAAAACCCACTCACTAAACATCATCAGCGTTATTATGAAGCAGTTCTGCTTCCTCATCACAAAATAATTTAATGTTTTTAGTTAATTTTTATCTAGCTTATTGAATTTCTACATTAACTCAATGATTTAATTATTTCATTTGTTCATCTTACTAAAATTGTTTTAAATATGTTAAACTTTTCAAACTAGGCGAAGCATAAAACAGTTATTGAAAAAATTTTTTTATTAATAAATAAATCACCTAGCGTTAGTTTTATTGGTTGAATCTTGTTGGACTTTTCAGAGCTGGGGACTGCATTATTTTGGCAGCCTTTTTTATGTTCCACAGCGTAAAAATGACTGAAAAAAATACCGAATGGTTCTCTTGACTATTTTGCGGCCCCTAGCATTGTGAGTCCCAAGGCTATACTTCCCCCCCCCCTATCTCCTAAATCCAGCACTGGAAATAAGACATAAGTATATAAATAAAAATTATATATACTCTTTGATAAATTGGTTGAAATGAAAACATTGGTTTCTTTATTAAACAATCATTAATAGTAAGTTGTTATTTTATATTAAAAATGTGACTTAATTTTATAAAAAAAATTATAAAAGACGTTTCAAAAATATTTGCTCTAATTGTATTTATTTTGATTAAAGTTTTTTTGCGTTAAAAGCTATTTTTCTTTTTTTAACTGTCTCTCATTGGTCCAGTTAATCTTATTGCGCTTTTTTGTTTGTTTTTGAAATGTTCTCAAAATGACTAAAAAATCTGGTCGGTTTTTCGCAACTAAATATTATTTCTGTGGTCAATTATCAGATTGCACCCGCTTTCTTACCAAGCCTGTATATATATATGCAAATATCTTTGTATACTTAGCCTTGTATAAAATTACATTGATGACGTCATACTTGAATAAGGAGCTGTAGGTTTTTAGTACATACATTGATAGCCCTTGGAATTAGGAAAAATGAAGTCCTTAATCTGTTAAAGTTCAGCATCAGGTTGTTAAAAAAGTTTGATGCAAAGGTTTTACTAGAAACGAGGTTGGCGATTTTTTGTCGGCCTGAAACACTTCTAGATCTTCTTAAATACTGACCCTAATTCCAAGGGTTGCATTGACTGAGTGTTTAGGTTCAAGCAGGTATTATCTAGATACGAAGAACTTTTGTTACTGCAAAAAAACAACTGTTTTTCTAATTTGTTTTTTTTTTCTGTTTGGGTTTTACTCTTGAGCATATTTAAACTTTAAGTGTGCAAAATATATCTAAGTGTACCAATCTAATTACACAAGAATAAATCTTTTTTTTTTTTTTACAAAATATTACTTTATTATAAACATTTGTTATGATTATATTTTTATTATTTATTTTATTATCTTTTATTATTATCTATACTTTAATACTCAAACTTTTTTTTTTTTTTTTTATTTAAATTCTTTTTTTTTTTGTTTGAATTTTTTTTTTTTAAAGTAAAAATTTAATTTTAATAGAAGAGCTTCTTATTGGCTTAACTGTTTCCTGTTGTATCAAGGTTTGGATTATGAACTCAACACTTGAAAATAAGGTATGTAAAACATATAAAGAAAAAACATAAAGCTCAAAAATGTGTAAAATATAGTTCTAAAAATTTTTATGTGCAAATTTGTATTTCTATTTGTTGCAAACTTTAATTGTTGGGTAAACTTTAAGGTAACAGGAAAACATTGACAGGTGGGTAACATTGACATGTGATAGGTTGAATATTTCTTCCCTTCACCGGTTGAAAATGTTTAAATTTTTTTTACCAGATACTACAGCCATCTGTCAAATGAACAAATATAAATTAAGTTATTATTATAATTATTGGTGAAAAACTTTAGTTGTAAGGTAAATAAAACCATATGGTTTTACTTATCTTTTTCTATAATAGTTTTATTTCTATAATAGTTTTATTTCTAAAATAATTTTATTTCTAAATGCTAAGTATTTTTGATGATTTTTAAGTTGCTTTTTTTAATGAACATTTGGGTATTTGGGTAACAATGAAATGAATGTTGAAGTTATCTTTCAGTGTTTACCCATCAGGTGCAATTATAATAATATTTTAAAACCTAATAATCTTGTTGCGCAGCCCAATGAAGAAAATTTTCATAGACTATTGTTGTAGGTATATTTTAAATACTAATGAGGAAATAGCGTGTGAAATTGTGATGGAATGAATAATTAGTTGTTGCCCAATTATCTTGAGGCCAATTAAATAGAATGGAATCAAACAAGAAAACCTTAGCCAAAAAAGTTATTTTAAAATTTACCAATAAATTAAATTTTACTAAACAGATTCAAGAACCTATACTTGGAACAGAAAATGATATTTCACAAATGATGCTGGGTAATACTGGTGAAAACCAAATATTAGAATCTGAAGATATACAAAGTTCTCTTATTTCAGAAAATCAACCGAACACTAAAATAGGATCATCCATAAAGTATGTACACTCGGAGGGGAAGAGGGGTCTGCAAATGGCATATATGAGATGAGAGGGCAGGGGGTCAATTATAAAAAAAAGGAGATACTAAATTTAAAAAATATCATATGTTAGATAAATAAATATCAAAAAAATATCATATGTTAGATAATGTTAGATAAATAGGTTAAAAGCGTAGATACTTTTTATATATTGATATAATAACAGGTTGTTAATTATTAATTATGCTAAAATAAATTGGCTTATTGATATAATAACAGGTTGCTAATAAGTAACTATGCTAATATATAATTGGTGGTTATTTATTTGAAATGTTTTCTCTATTTTCTTTGTAAAAGTTCAAACGATGTCACACCTCATAATGTAATTGTAACTACTATCAATGTTGCCCAATATTGGGGGTAACATAGACAGTTGCATCTCACCAACTAGATTAATAATCTATCAAAAATATTATATAACTAATTATATTCTTTATCAGTTATGGCAGCAATATCATTGGTAAAAATGTAGAAATATTTCACTTATATTGATGTGTCAATGTTCCCTCACTGTACTTTTTTTTTTTTTTTTTTTTTTTTATTATTCACCTCCCCAAGGGCCTAACCCTAACCCTAACCCCTAACACGAACCTTGACAAGCAAGGCCGCTGCGCGGAGAAATTAAGTTGAGCGCAGTACTTCCAGGGACATGGTGGGAGTCGAACCTTTACTTATGATAAAATGTATTGTTTTTACTGTTAAATAAAATGAATTTAATTTTTTAAAAAAACTGCTGTTTTTTTTAGAACTATTTTGATATATATATATTTTTTTAAATTTAGTTTATTAAAATGTCAAAAAATGCTAATCATAATTTTTTCAGGGAGAGTTTGTTTACGAAGATGAATCAAAAACCATTGACTGTGTTAAAGCAAAGGCAATATGTGCAAATCCATTTACACAGAGAATTTTGCTTGTTATCAGTGCAAAAACCTGGCAGGTTAAAAATATAATAATGTAGCTGTTACTCTAGTTACATTGACCATCCTCATCATCATCATCATCATCATCATCATCATCATCATCATCATCATCATCATCATCATCATCCATCATCATCATCATCATCATCATCATCATCATCATCATCATCATCATCATCATCATCAATATCATCATCATCATCATCATCATCCTGATCATCATCATCATCCTGATCATCATCATCAACATCATTGTTTTTGTTATTTTCAAGTCATCATTATAAAACAATCACTGTGACATCATTAACAATCACAACAAACTCCAAATCTACTTCAAAATAACTAAGAAGCATTAAATATAGATTTACAAATATAAACATATGTATTAAAATAAACTATAATTATATCTATCTATAACTGAAATTTTAGGTATATGATTTATTGGTATATGATGCTTATTTTAGGTATACGATGCTTGTGAATTTAATTTCCTTGCTGCTCTTCCTGCTCCAAAAAAAATTCCACTTGTAAATGGAGATTTTGTGGCATCAGATAGAGTGCTTCTATGGAATAAGGTTTTTGTACTGTAACAATAAATATTTCAACAATTTGATAGACTGTTTAAGTATGTTTATCCAATCGATTCCATAAATGGTTTTAACTTCCATGTTGAAGACATTTATGGTTTGAATAATTATATTAATGTAGCAACATTAATTTTATTAATATACCATACATATATAACTCATTTACACATTTCTTGATTGCAAGAGGGCTGGTGTTGCCCATAAGTGAAGCATATATATTTTTTATTTTTATATTTAACTAGATGTGGTAGTGGTGTAGTAGTAGTAGAGGCCTTCCTTCATAAAAGAGAGAATCTACTACGTCTACTGGGATACATACCAACCATACATGCTCAACTTGTTTTTTTGTACAACTTAGCTATTAAGTTGAGAAAAGATTGAACAACCATTAAAAAATTTAATAATCAAAAAAAAGATAAATAAAAAAAAAAGTGTTCTTTCTGATTATAATGGCCACTTGAGCATTGTGAGGTGAATGTTAAAAAAATTTTTCTTTTAACTTTACAAGTTTAGTTTAATTTAATTTTTTTCAAATATTTCATGTGGTTTGTATTGTATTTTAACTATATATTAAGTCGCATGATTTCTTTTAACATTTTTAACATGTTTAAGCATGTAGTCTTGAGTTTTGGTCTTACTAAAATTAAGAATAGAAAATGTTTTTTATGAGTTAATGTATTTTTACTATTTTATTGTCTTGAGAGATTTTTTCATAATAAATAGACAAAATGATAAACAAAAACAAAGAATATAATGTAAAGAAATGCAAAATAAGTAAATAGTTTTGCTTTATCCTTGGCAGATGAATATGATGAGACTCATGTATGACAGAATGTTTTTTTTCAACAACTTCTTGAAAAAGTTGTATTATTCATATTCCAAATGCATTTTTTGAAATCTCAGCGGTTATCTTTTTCCGGATATTTCCGGAATTTCGGATATTTTTCTTAACTTTTAGTTTTTCCAGATATTCAAAACGTTTTTTATACATACAAGTTTAGCTATATTTTTTTGTAATATATTTGTTTTTTAAGCTATTTCACTCATCACTCATACAAAAATATAAAAAGTTTGGAAAAAAAATTTGAAACAACTCAGCTAAAAGCAAATCTAAGAGGAAATAATATTCTGGTTTTTTTCCGGATATTTTACCCTATCAATTTTCCGTATTTTCAAAATACTGACCTGGATGATCTATGAATCTACATCAAAAAAGCATTCTAAACCAGTTCATTTTTTAAAATCTACATCAAAAAAGCATTCTTAACCATTTTTAAAATTGCAAAATCTTAATATCTTGTGTACTGTTTAATATTTTGATGAAACTTTTCTTTTTGTAAAATGCAATAAAAAATGCTAAAAAAGAAATATGTGGACCCATGGTCAAATATTTGGGCAAAAGGTGGGAGGGGGGGGAAAGGGGTATGCAGAATCATTAAAAAGTATCTTTAAATATGTAAAAAATATATTAATGCTTTTGAATAAGATTATTTTTTTCTAACATATACTTTTATTATTATTCATTAACTGGGTTAACTAATAATAGTAAAAGTATATGTTAGAAAATAATAAACTCAACTATAATAAGAAAAAAATATTAAAAACCAAAATGTTAAGTAACATCAACAGAAATAAAGCTGACTTAATATTTTGTAATTAAGTTTGTAAATTGTTTAATCAGTTTAACATTAAGCTAAATTGATATATCAGACTAATAAGTATGCTACTACTAAAAGTAACATTTGAACTATTTACTATCTTAGGTCTAATGCTCTTAAAGTAAAGGAGAAATTAGAATACCAAAACTTCTATTTATTCCAAATACAATGCAAATAAATAAAATTATAATAAACAGCTAATAAAAAATACTCACTGATTCACTTACATAGTTCATCTAAAGAATGATGAAAAAAAAAAAACAGCTATTAAAATAACAGACTTGAATATATTCTTAGAAAAAAATAAAATTAATTAAAAGTTAAAATAAAATTAAAAAAAAAAATAAAATTAATTAAAAACTAAAAGTTGTATAATAAGTTGTATAATTGAGTTACTGGTGTTGGTGCATCTATCGGCTTTTAAATCTATTGGCTATCTTGCTCAAAAAATAAAACTTTAAATAGCTTATAATATTAAATTTGAAATAGTTATAATATTTATATAAAAGAATATAATTCATTTATGCAATATATTCTTTTATATAAATATTATAATTATTAATATAATGCAATGTAATTTACCCCATAAAATATTGTTATCTCTTTTATCCTCTTCATCAGCATCATTATTGTTATTATTATTATTATTTTTATTATTATTATTATTATTATTATTATTGTTATTATTAATATTATCAACTTAACAGAAAAACAATAGATAATAATCAAAAAATATACATTTATTTATATGAAAGGAATTTGTCTTGATATTATTCATACAATAAATGTATTATTTTTAATATAATTTTAAAACTTCTCAACAGCTCAACTACGAAAAAAACTGATTTTAAATTCATTTAACTTTGTTTGCAAAAATAGTGAAAAAGATGGAGATAAACATTTAACAGTAAACATTAAACAGTAAATATTAAACTGTATTATTATTATTAGTTATTAGAAATTTTAAACTCATGAAAGTAATTTTTTTTTAGTTGGGCAATGCGTTTATGTATAAACTTCCGTCAAGGTAACATTTTTTGTTAATAATCACAGTGAAAAAACTTTAAATATATAATATTTCATTTTATATATTTAAAGTTTTTTCACTGTGTTTAAAAAAGAAAGAGACATTTTTTGATTTACTATGTTAGTTTATGTGTAGATTATTTTTTTATGTGTAGATTATTTTTTTATATTGATTGTGCAGAGTCATTAAATCAAAATTGAGTTGAGGAAAAAAACAGTTTCAATTCATTAAGACTTTACTAAAGACTAACAAAAGTTATTTTGGCTTTTTGTAGTGAGTCCTTTTTTACTGCAGTATGGAATAGACGTAAGTCGTGGGGTAAAGTCTAAGTAGCGATGACATTTATCTGACAAGATAAACTAGTTGTTAGGGCTGATTCTCATCCTAATGTCAACTCCGAGGAAATGTTTATTATTTAACTGCTACACAAATTATCTTTACACATTACTATTAATGTTTTTTTTTCAATTCTTTTTCCCTAAGGTGTTCACTGCTCGTGTGTGATCATTCTGTAAATTTATATGCCAAAGTTTTAAAATAAATTACAAAAGTTAAAGTACATTAAGACTTGAGTACAAAAACAAATGCCCCATTCTTTTAAATTGATTGGTCAGCATTTTAAGTTTGTTATCTGACATGTTTGGTTCAATAATTTTGCTATATTTGTTAAATTGCTACTTGTTATCAGTTGTGTTAAATTATTATTAAATATATACATATATATTTAGGTATCTTTTAAGTGATCAAATTGATGCAAATGGTGATAGATCTTTTTATCCTCCAGTTATGATATGTCAGTTTGATTCATTTTTTAATCAGGTTAATTTTTTTTCAATTTTTTACTGTTTTTGCTACTAATAAATTATTTATTGAACAATAAATAGTTATATAATTTATGTATTCATACTTTTATATTAAGTATTTCGAAATATTAGCAAAAAAGCAAATGTTTTTAATGACTGAGCTCTCAATACCAAGGAAAGTCTGGAAGAAACTAAGAAAAGAATTTAAATAAATTTTTTTTGTGTCATCTGCAACATTTCTCTATAAATTTAACTTTTCCTATTCCTCCTAAAACTTAGGCTAATTCACTTATTACATATTATCTGCATCTTTTCACTCTACATACTCAAACAATCTTAACTTGTGCCAATACCCTATCATCTGCATCTTTTCACTCTATATACTCAAACAATCCTAATCTTCCTTGGCATACTTTATCAGATGAACTTACTATTTTCAATCTTTATCTATAATCATTGCTTTATTTCTTATTATTTAGAGCCACACACACAGTTTAATAATTATGCTCAGTTGTTTCTTTTAAATTGCACCCAAACACTACTTAAACATATATTGTACTATAAGCTAATTAAGTAATGTAATTGCCTCATTTCTAATTAACTCAAAGTTGTAACGACAGTCTCTTTATGTGGCTGCAACAATGCACACCAAAAGCACTAACAGAGACAACAACCACGCACAACATGCTACTGTTAATACTTTCTCCCTCATCCTGTTATCTCTCAGGAGATAGCGGGAAGAGTTGCATTCAGCTTCTATCAAAGAGGCTGAAGCAAAAACACTTTAACAGAGATCCATGGTTTATAATCATAGAGAAAAAACAGTGTAACACATGTTTACTACTATATATATATTTATTACAGCCAATTAAATTTATCAGTAAATCAACCTTTTTTTAAGCAATTTGCATTTTATGCATAAGTTTTATCATGATGAGAGTGTAATTTTACATTTAAACCAAAAATTTTATTGAAGATTACATTGCTTTGATTAATTTCATATAAAAGAGTCAAAAAAGGTAAATGACATTGCTAATGTTGTTTTAGCGTTTATATACACAGGATAATTATAAAACACTAATGATACACAATTTTGTCATTTTCTTCAAAAGTATTTTGAACTGGCTCATTTTTATAGGTTCAGAAGTTTTACATGGTCATAACTAATACGGTAGTGGTAGAGCACTTGCTTCATAACTAGTTGTAACTACAACTAAATTAGCCTCCTCCACTGTAATGACCTTGATGGTCTAAAGGAAGTTTATTAGTTTAAAAAAACAGAAAAACTCTTGAACACTTAAATATCATTTGAAATCTATTCATGAATATAAATTTATTTTTGAGTAGTAATAGTATAAATTCAATAAATTATTGCCCTCACATTTGGGGTCAAGGGGCACAAGTTTTAGGGTTTGAGTTGTCCCCAGGCTGTACTTAAAACAATTTTTTGCAAAGCAAATTCAGACAGGATGCTATTGGTTTAAGGTTATCAAGGTTTGGAATAAATCTTTTTTTAGTTGTTCATATTATAAATGATGTTTACAGAGCAAAGTAATTTATAAAAATAAAAATTTAAATATTAAAAGTACTTTATACATTTTTTTACATTATGCAGTTTATTTAGTTTATACATAAATATTGAGGAAATATAAATATTGAGGTAATATAAATATAAAGATAATATAAATACTGAATAAGGGTGGTAAACAATTAACAATTAATCTATTATTAAAAATTAATTGTTGATTGTTTAATAAATGATTAATCTATTAATTTTTTGCTTTAAAATACTATATTTGTTATAGTATTTTTTTATAAACACTTTTTTGCTATAATAACAAAATAGCATTTTTTAAGAAACAAAAACAACTGTTTTCACTTTTCCGGTAAGCCTGAATGCCATTTACAATGTCATCTGGAAAAAGTTGTTCTGACGTTTGGAAGCATTTTTCAATGGAAAACAAAGCGAAATCATCATTCAAATGCAATGTTCAGCTGAAGTTAAATTTCATTCATCGACTTCAAGTTTTTTATATCATTTAGAGCACAAATATAAAATTTTTCCGACCAAAATTGTTTCAGAAAAGACAAAAAATACACAGCCAAGTGTTGCCGTCTACTGTAATAAAAATGGTAACAAATTTGAAGAAGTATTAGCTCGTTTAACAGGTGTAGATTGTATTTTTTATGCAACTTTGGCCAATAATAAAGATATTTAAAATGACTGGAAATATTAAGGACTTGAAATTCCCTATAATCAACATGCTATAAAGGCAACTGTTATGAACTAAGCAATTTCAATAAAATTTAAAATTGCTCAAGAGCTTCAGCAAAAGAAAAAATAGCTGTAGTAGTTTTTCAATTTCTCCTGATGAGTGAACAGGTGGAACTAAAAGGTATTTGTGTCTTAATGTACATTTTTCAGACAAATTTGATATCAATAATATTTTTGGATGTGTTACTGATGGCGTATCAGTCATGAAAAAAATGGGATGAGAAATGGGAATTACCCACCAACTTTGCTATTGTCATGGAATTCATCTTGCGGTATGTGATATTCTTTATAAGAAAAAAGGTTCAGCAACAGAAACAATTGGAGAAAAACTAATTATGAAAGAGCTAAATAAAAATGAAGAATCTTCTTCCGAACCTGCTGATGAAAATGAAAATGAAGAATGCTGGAATGAGGAAAGTATCAGCTTTGTTGATAAGGAAAGGCAATTTAATGAGAACTATGGTATTATTATATCAAAGGTTCATAAAGTTATCAAGCTGTTTAGAAAATCACCTCTCAATGATGATATCCTTCAAAACATTTGTAGATCAGATTTAGAAAAAAAACTTAGGCCTATTCTGGATACTAAAACAAGATGGAATTCTCTAATCAGTATGTTAAAACAAATTTTGGAATCATAAAATGTTATCAAAAAAGCTCTTGTAAATATATTCAGAACAGATTTGATTTTATCAGAAGAAGAAATAAAACATATTTCTGATATTGTTCAGGCTCTTCATGTTGTAGTGTTAAGTGTTATGGCATTGGAAAAGGAGGCTGTGATCAATAAAATCTGATGCAATTATTTTGTTTTTACTACAAAATTTTAGAGAACAAAATACTAACAATGGTCAAAAACTATTAAATGTAGTCTCTGAGAAAATTACTGAAAAAAGAAATTATGTCATTGCTTGGTATACTATTGTATTATGCTATTTGCATAATACTATTGTATTATGCTATTTGCATATATTCAGATGACTTTAAATCAGATTCAGAGTTACAAATCTTGTGATATAGAATGCGGTAGTGGTGTAGTGGTAGAGCACTCGCTTCATAAGTATAAGGTTCTGAATTTGATACCCACCACATCCCTAGAAGTACTGCGCTCAACTTTTTTCTCCGCTCAGTGGCATTGTTCATCAAGATTTGTGTTTTGGAGTTATAGTGTGAGAGGTTATATGAGAAAGGGTTATAACCTCATTTAAGTAGCCTTCTTGGCCCTAGGGAGGTGAGTTAACATAAAAAAAAAAACAAAAAAAACTTAAGTTGAAGAATTAGTAGAAATGATATCAAATATAACTTCAACAACAGTAAGAAATAAAGGGCTAATAGTAAATCATTCCCTTAAGAGATTTTGACTTGTATCAAATCAAGAAATGACAATACTTGAAACCACTGGAAAAAAGCCAAACTCCTTAGAAAAGGTTTACCTTCCGCCATCTTCTGTAAAATGAACTAAAAAGAACTAGTTTCGATGATGACACTGTTAATAACTTAGATTTTTAATAACTTATATTTTTTAAGATCTGATGAAGAAAGAGAGATAAAATCATAAGAAGTTGTATTTTTTTAACTATTTTTTTAACTTTTATTTGTAAAAATTAATCGAAATTAATCGATAAATCAATTAATTTTTTAAAAATTAATTTTTAATCTATTAATATGATTAATCTATCACCCCTAATATTGAGGTAAGATAAGTATAAAATTATAATAAATATTGAGTTGATATAAAAATAAAGGTAATATATATCTTGAAGTATATAAGTGTAATTTGTTGAATTATTAGTTTTATTTATTTTTATTTTGTTTTAGTTTTAATTAGTTGTATTTTTTCTAGTTGTATTCTTTTTTGTATCTTATAGGATGCATTTCGTTTCCCTACAACTTTTTCTTATGGAAGACGCATGCCTTTTTATAAGTTACTAATACAAGGTTCACATGGAGGGTAAGATATTTCTAGTTTATCAAGCAAGAAGAATAACAGCTTTTTTTATGTTAACAGAGAACAAATTTACATAAATTCAGTTACATAAATTTTAAGATTTTAATAAAGTAATAGTTTGTTAAACTATTTAGAGTTTTTATTTTGCTGGCACATATAAATATAAATTTGCTAAACTATATTTAAGTTTTTGTGAGCATTTTAGTTATATAAATATAAAAAAGGAGGAAAATACATTTAAAACTTAATTGATAAATATACATATTTTCAACTTTTTAGGTTGTTATGAATAAAAAGTATAGCGCAGTGAAAAGTATCTTAAGGCGAACGTTATTGTTGGGTTTTTACACTACCTATTCATTTATTTATTAACAACATTTATTTATTACTTATTTATTAACAACATTTACTTATTACTTATTTATTAACAACATTACTTATTACTTATTTATTAACAACATTACTTATTACTTATTTATTAACAACATTACTTATTACTTATTTATTAACAACATTACTTATTACTTATTTATTAACAACATTACTTATTACTTATTTATTAACAACATTACTTATTACTTATTTATTAACAACATTACTTATTACTTATTTATTAACAACATTACTTATTACTTATTTATTAACAACATTACTTATTACTTATTTATTAACAACATTACTTATTACTTATTTATTAACAACATTACTTATTACTTATTTATTAACAACATTACTTATTACTTATTTATTAACAACATTACTTATTACTTATTTATTAACAACATTACTTATTACTTATTTATTAACAACATTACTTATTACTTATTTATTAACAACATTACTTATTACTTATTTATTAACAACATTACTTATTACTTATTTATTAACAACATTACTTATTACTTATTTATTAACAACATTACTTGTTACTTATTTATTAAAAACATTACTTATTACTTATTTATTAACAACATTACTTATTACTTATTTATTAACAACATTACTTATTACTTATTTATTAACAACATTACTTATTACTTATTTATTAACAACATTACTTATTACTTATTTATTAACAACATTACTTATTACTTATTTATTAACAACATTACTTATTACTTATTTATTAACAACATTACTTATTACTTATTTATTAACAACATTACTTATTACTTATTTATTAACAACATTACTTATTACTTATTTATTAACAACATTACTTATTACTTATTTATTAACAACATTACTTATTACTTATTTATTAACAACATTACTTATTACTTATTTATTAACAACATTACTTATTACTTATTTATTAACAACATTACTTATTACTTATTTATTAACAACATTACTTATTACTTATTTATTAACAACATTACTTATTACTTATTTATTAACAACATTACTTATTACTTATTTATTAACAACATTACTTATTACTTATTTATTAACAACATTTACTTATTACTTATTTATTAACAACATTTACTTATTACTTATTTGATTATAAAAGAGTTATAAAAGTTTTATGAAAAATCTTCTTATTAGAATTATTATTGTAATAAGAATGCAGGCAATTTATAAATTATTACAACAATTAAAAAGATCACAATAAAAGTTAATTAAGTTATTTAAGTAATTAATATATAAAATCATAAAATAATACATAAAATAAAAATTATTATGCAATATTTTAGAGTGTAATAATTTTATATTAATCAGTTAGTCCAATCTAATTAAAAATATTTACATTTAAATCGGTGTTCTTTTTCTTTTTTAATTTTTTCCATTTTTGCAACAACCATGCCTTTTAAAAAACATTACAGCTTATTATGCAATTAGTTTTTATAAAAATGTCTCTGTTTTTCATTTTAGTTACAATGATACACTTTTATATACTTTTGATTTATATTAATTATACTTTTGAGAGAAAAAATTATACTTTTGCAAGAGCCGTAAATTGCTCCTATAAACTGTTTTAGCAGAATGTCTGCAAGAGCGAAAGCTAAAGCTCTTGCTTCCCGTCGATTCCTGTGTATATATATATTTTTAAACATTCATACCTGTGTTTTGCGCCTGAGCGTATATATATATATATATATATATATATATATATATATATATATATATATATATATATATATATATATATATATATATATATATATATATATATATATATATATATATATATATATATATATATATATATATATATATATATATATATATATATATATATATATATATATATATATGTTTTTAAGTAAGTGTGCTGAGAGTTTAGCTAGACCACTCTGTATGATATTTAACCAATCATTTCTAACTGGAACATTGCCTACAAGCTGGTTAAAAGCGAATATCACTCCAATTTTCAAAAATGGGGATAGGTTGAATGCAGGTAACTACCGTCCAATTTCATTGACCTCTGTTGTTTGTAAAGTAATGGAAAGTATTGTTAAGGATACAATAATGAACCATTTAAATAAAAATAAGTTATTAATACCAGAACAACACGGATTCATTAAATCAAAAAGTTGTGTAACAAACCTTCTCGAGACATTAGACATAATAACAGAAGCAATAAATTGTGGAAAATGTGTTGATGTTGCTTTTTTAGATTTTTCTAAGGCATTTGATTCAGTTCCGCATTCCAGGCTGCTCTTGAAACTTAAGTCATTTGGTATTGTCGGAAAATTGTTGCAATGGTGTAAAGCTTTTTTAGCAAATCGAAAACAGAGAGTTGTTTTGGGACTGTTTGAATCAGAATGGGAATAACATAAAAAAAAACATAAAATAGCTAGTGATCAATACTTTCCATAATACCAGCTAATTGGCTGGACTATGTTTAAACTTTCACCAGTTTTTCACACTGACATTTTATTTTGCATTAAAATCTCTATATTATAAGATTAAGAAAATCATTTTAAAGTAAGGTATTGCTTTAAAATTGTTTTAAAGAGAGGTATTATTTAAAAAAGAAACAATAATTAAATGTATTTGTTTCTTATAAATTTTCTAAAATAAACTTTATTTTAGAATTTGCATTTGGAAAGTACCTGATAATGAAGAAAAGGATGAAATGCATTCAAAACTGAGAAACACATTTTCTGCTCTTGGGTCAACAGGTTACGTTCTTATTTTATTTGAATGTCATATTTGATAAATAATAAGCAAATTCCTATTTCCATTAATTAAAGACTAAATCAAAACTCTTCTGAAGAATAAATTTAACCACTTAACTTTTTTTTTGTTTCAAAAGTTTTGAACTAAAATTTAACTTATTTAAATCCATCACAATACATCATAAGTTTAATCCATCATAAGTTGTCCTAACAAACAGAAAAAAAATTCAAAAATTTTTTGAAAAACATTTTTCTACTTTCTACCCAATTTCACAAAATCTTTATTAAATAAAAATATATTAGTCACTCTAACATAAATATCTAAAATTGAAAGCTTATGAAAGTTGTAATTGAAATTGAATAAATGGTTGCTCCATGAATGGAAAATGTTATCCAAAAAAGTACTGTTTAAATCTATTGTTTTTTTTTTTTTTTGTTAAACAACCAGAAATTCAATAGATTTTGAATGTGAATAAATAAAACCTTATTTTTATCAAACTTTAAAAAAATTACAATTAGCTATATAATAACAATTAACTTTTATGCTCTTTTAGAAGTTACAATATCTCATGGTGGAATTCGAAAAACGCTACTGTTTGATCAAAAAGCTACCAGAAGTATGTTTTTAATGTAATAAATATGATCTACCAGAAGTATGTATAATTTAATGTAAAAAATATGATCTACCAGAAGTATGTACAATTTAATGTAATAAATATGATTTATAACGCCTTGAAAAGCCAAAAAACAATAACTTGATAAGTCATTTAATATTTTAAGATTTAATGCGAGAGTTATTGTATTTTGGCTCAGTTACATCTTACAAAACTAGTAAATTTTTTTAATCTCACAAAACTATTTTTAAAATCTCACAAAACTATTTTTAAAATCTCACAAAAATTTTTTAAATCTCACAAGACTAGTAAATTTTTTATATCTCAGATTATATAAAATTGTACAAAATTAATGTGAAATTACATTTCATTAACACACTCAAAAATGATTAATCAAATTATTGTGTTTTGGTTTTTAATTACAATATGTAGATTTTTTTTTTTCCAAAAATGTAAATCTATCAGCAAAAATATGAACAAAACATTTTTTCGCAACTGAGTTTTTATTTTTGGAAAAATCAAAAAATTTCAAATGACCATATCTTATAAACTACTTTTTATGAGCTTTATTATGTATAATCAAGGTGGTATAGCATTATTGAAGTTGGCATTAGAAGGTATTATAGAGGTGACATAGAATTAGAAGGTTAAATACTGTTGTTATTATGTCTATGTTTTTCCATTTTTTAAAAATTTTTTTAGTGTTCATTGAATAAAACCGAGGAGTGGGTTTGATGTATCAATGTTTGAGTTGTTTCTGAATTTTATTAATTGTTAAGAGCAAGAAAGTTGATAAAGTATGTTCTAGTGATTATTTAGAAAAAAAAATTTAAATAAAAAATATTTATAAGTTTCTCATAAATACTTTTACAGAAAATGGATATTCTTGGCAACAACTTCTAGACATTGTTAAACATTACTAATCATCCCAACTCCAAAACTGTAAACAAATTAACACAAAAAGTACTATAATACTTCTGTGGGTTCCTAAATTAGGTTTTATTCTTAGAAATGAGTTTCCCAAAAGTGGGAATAATAACAGTTTTTTTTGTTCTGGAAGATCTTTACTTAACCTGTTATGCCACAATAGATAATAGCTACCTTTACCAATTAGACATGTGGTGCTTTTTATGTAGGTGAAATTAGAAAAAAGATAACGCAAATAGCTGAACATCAAAAAAAGTGACCAAAGAGAACTGTTAAGCATTCACAACAATGCAAATTTACTTGGAATAATTCCAAAACACTTCATTCGTCATTGCAAACAGTTTTATTTGTTATGACTGAAATTGTCATCTTGTAGAAAAATCAATCAGACTATTGAAATAGACAGTTTGTTTGTTCTACCCTAAACAAAAAGATTCTTGACCAAGATAATTGTAAGTATTACATTAAGACTGAATTAAACTCAGTTTAAATAGCCTTAGTCACCTCCCCCCTGTTCATTTATTTAACACACATTTTTGCCCAAAACATTCTTATCTTACACTTATGAACTTCTTTTTTGATTAATTTTATCATTTGGTTATTAAACATCTCACCTTATACAGTTTGTCTGATTTTATGTCTTATGCATGAAGTGTTTTAATAACACAGTATTAAACATACACATATAAAAGCTGTGACATTGAGTTTGTAAAGTTAGATAGTATAAAGACATAAAATGTTTAAGTAGCTTGTTGGGTAAAAATGAAAAAAAAAAATTTTTATCTAATTTTCAGCCCAACACTTTTTTTTTTATTATATTTCACTTATTTCTTTACTATTTCATATCTTGACTAAAATTTTTGTAACTTTTTTTCTAATCCCTTCACTATTTAACCCCTCCCCATTTATTCAACTTTAATTTGATTATCATCAAATTACAGTTGTTTTAAATTTAGATTACGACTTATACCAAGTAATAACAGTTATTTGTCATCCCCACAAGTAATAAATATTATGTATGTAAAAAATATTATGTAATAAAATGCTATTGTAATGCTATTGTAAAAATGTAATGTTTCAGTTTTTTCTAGAGCTGATAGTTCATAGCATCAACCGGTTGCTGATTGAACTTTTTAAGATAAAATTTGCAAAAAATTTACATTATTGGAACTTAGCAAATATCTTTTGACAGAGCCCCTAACACCATCACAAACACTTTTTCCATGTGGTGTAACAAAAAAAAATGCAATTTTGCAGATACCTCATGATCTTGTTCATTATGACATAAATTACATATGTTTTTATAATTTTTGTATTGTGAACTTGCACCATCACTGAAATAAATGCAAGAAAACGTGAGGCATCAACTCTTAAATTTTTTTACATCATGAATGAAACAACAAACTGAGTTTGTATTGTGTTGCAAATGATCTGAGATGCTACAAACACTTAGATTTTATTTTATTTTCTTCCATAAAGTAAATAACAAAAAGATGCAATGTTGCTTGATTGTTGTTCCGATGGAAACCTTGTAGTAAATCAATGGAAAAATCAAAAAACATTTTCTAATATTAAAATCTGATTACTCAGTGCTTTTTTTTATTTGCTGCAAATATGTTGCTTGGTTAAATAAAATCATTCCCTGGAAGATTTATTGTTGTTTTTTTGCCACTGGTTAATCTAATCAGTGAAAAAAAAGTCAACAAAAGATAACTTTTTCAATGCTGTGTTTATCCAACAAACTAGTAAGACACTTTTTTAGTGTGTCAGTATCTGGGTAAATAAATTTCTGGGTAAATAAAGTAATAGTAAACTATTAACTAACAAGAGTCTTTTTTTTTAAATATTGTCTTTAATGATCAACTTGAAGTGAGATATACTGTTTCTTCCCTGGACACAGTATTTGATAGAATGGTAGAATTCGTGAACTTGATTTTTCACTTTTACACTAATGAGTAAAAATATTTCAAAAAACAAGGGGTTGCATCCTACATCACCAAATTTGCTAAAATTTGGCACAAATGTTTAAAAATTTAGGAGTTAGGAAAGACTGAATTTTTTTATTCTTTTAAAAATTACAGCAACTTAAAGTTTGTTAGACTTTGACTGAAAAATGAGGGGGAAAAGCGCCGGAAATGTGTTCGTTTACTATTACCCCTATAAGGTGCTTGTACTAATTTAGCAAAGCTAAAATTTTGTACCAAAGAAGTTTAAAACCTGTTTAATCTCAAAACTGTAGATTTGTATCTCTCAAAACAACAAAATGTAGTTTAGTTGGTCAATTATTCTGAAGAAATTTAAAAAAATTATAAGTTAGCAAATTCATTTCGATATTGAACTAAATACAATTATATTTGTTTTTAATCTAATTTTGAGTTTATTTAAAAAAAAAAACAGTATTTGTGTTATGTGGTTTAAATTTTTACAAAGTTGTTACAAAATATTGTTAAATATTTTGTAAATTTATAAATTTGTTTCTTTTATTTTCATTACATAACAGTTATGTCATTTGCATTGTTATTTTCATTACATAATAGTTAGGTCATTAAATTAAACAATATTATGTAATCTTTTTTTTTATTACATAATAGTTTAATTACATAATAGGTCATTAAAATAAACAATATTATGTAATCTTTTTTTTTCATTACATAATAGTTAGGTCATTAAATTAAACAATATTATGTAATCTTTTTTTTCATTACAATATAGTTAAGTCATTAAATTAAACAATATTATGTAATCTTTTTTTTCATTACATAATAGCTAGGTCATTAAATTAAACAATATTATGTAATCTTTTTTTTCATTACAATATAGTTAGGTCATTAAATTAAACAATATTATGTAATCTTTTTTTTATTACATAATAGTTAGGTCATTAAATTAAACAATATTATGTAATCTTTTTTTTCATTACAATATAGTTAGGTCATTAAATTAAACAATATTATGTAATCTTTTTTTTCATTACATAATAGTTAGGTCATTAAATTAAACAATATTATGTAATCTTTTTTTTCATTACAATATAGTTAGGTCATTAAATTAAATAATATTATGTAATCTTTTTTTTCATTACATAATAGTTAGGTCATTAAATTAAACAATATTAATCTTTTTTTTATTGATTGTTTTATTGTAATAAAATATTGACTATTTCATCAATAAAATAAGTAATAAAACAAGAAGTGTACATAATAATATCCAATCAATATTACCTTGTTAAATTATATAACTAAATACAACTATATTTAGTTATAATTTACTTTCACCCTAATTTTTGGTAGATGATTAGTAGAGAATTGACAATAATTAGGAGATAATTAGGTATTTAAAATATGTCTATTAAAACTAATAGTTATTTGTTCAAGCAAAATGTTCTTTATAAATGTAACTTTAGTTTTATTTTTGACATATTGTTTATGTTCGAGTGTACTTTGCTCATTAGGAATATTGTATTAAAGATTTCTTCTATTTAGGTGTTTAGATTATAATTCCTCATTATAGTTTTGTATGGATAACTAAATCAATTGTTTTTTTGTAAATGATTATTAAATATTTTAATAGTGAGATATGAAAGTAGTCAGAAAAGTTGCTGTAATTTATTTCTGACTCACAAAAAAGTGTGTAGAGGTAAAAGTTCATATATTTACATTTTAATGGGTAATACCATTCTTAATAATTTGTTTATAAGTTTTTTGTAATAGGATATGTTCAATTTTTTTTAATAGTATAATATTTAATGTTACAGTATTTGAGTAATATAGTTACATTTTCTTTTCTTTTCATCTCTATATGTGATTACAATGCATACTGTGTTAAAAGCAGAAGTTGTAGGTTTAAATTTTATACCTTGAAAATCTCCTATTAAGGTCAAAGGATTGCATAAGTCAGTTAAAATCAGAGAAAAGAAAATGAAAATTGACAGCATTAACAACCTCTGTTAAAAAAAGTAGCTACTTCCCTTGATCAGAAGAAAGTTTTAATGAACAATTAAGTTTCAGTAATGGAAAGTATATATAAACAGCTTGTATGGGACAGTCGTGACCATCACGGTTACGACTGTCACAACAAAAAAAAACACAAAAAAGTTTGTAAAACTTTAAGTAAAAACTATGAAACTCAGCATATAATAACATCAATATGTGCTAAATATACACACCAAAAGTTTTTTTTTTTTTATCATGCCATTCGCTGCATCAAGTCTGACAAAGTTGTTTTGCTTTTATATGGAAAAACTTGTTTAGTAACATGATGCTTTTGTTAACTAATAAAATTGCAGAGTTTACAGCAACATCTAAAAAAATACAACTGACAATGCTTGCTCCAACTGGCTAGTCAATAAAAAAGTTTCTGAAACATTGCATGTAACTATATAGCTCAAACTGCACGTAAAATAGCATTAGAAAAAGGTATTTTAGCCATGCCTAATCCTAAATTAAGAAAAGCTCTTCCTGATGTAACAGTTCAACTGGTCAAGTCTTTTTATAAAGATGATGAATATAGCTGTATAATGCCTTATAAAAAGGACTATGTAAGCATAAATAAAAATGCTCACATGCAAAAATGTTTACTATTATGTAATTTAAAGGCATTGTTTGTTGCTTCCAAAACCATGAACCCAGAAATAAAAATAGGGTTCTCAAGGTTTTGCATATTGCAACCAAAATGGTGTATTACTGCTGGTGTTTCAGGAACACATTCAGTATGCGTCTGTGCTGTTCATCAGAATTTAAAACTGCTTTTACATCCTCTTGGTGTGACATACAAAGAACTGTTACCTTATATTGTATGTGACATGACTAATAAAAGCTACATGATGCAGAAATGTGAAAGATGCCCATGTACTATAAATGCATTGGTTGAAAAATTTTATAATTTAATTAGGGAGTTTGAAGATGACGATGAAGTAGAATTTGATCAGTGGACAACAACAGATAGGTCAAACTTAACACATAATAAAGAGCCAATGTCTGAATTCATTGAACTAGTATGTAAAAAACTGGCAAAACTTGCACCAAACTCGTATTTAGCTAAGAGTCAAGCATCATACCTGAGATCAATAAAGGAAGATTTGAATGAGTTAACAGCATTATTTTTGGGTGATTTTTCAGAAAACTATAAATTTAATTCAGGGTGAAGTACAAAGCTTTTATTGGACAAATTTACAATGTACACTTCATTCAGTGGTTATTTATTTCAAAAAAAAAAAATTTCTCAATCACAAATCTTATTGTATTGTTTCAGATGATACAATGCATGATGTGAACATGGTGTATAAAATTATTGATCTTGTCAGCAATGATATTAAAACAAATATACCTTAAATAAAAATAATATATATTTCAGATGGGTCACAGCGGTCAGAAACGCTTGAAAATGCGAAATAATTCAAAAATACTAATTAAAAAAAAAACCCACAATTTTTATGACTTTTATGAATTTTCAAACCTTCAAGAAAGTATACTTAGAATATTTTATTTCTAGTGCACTGAATTATTACATTTCATCCCATTAAAGGAGCCAGGGTAAAAATTAAATTATAGAAACAGATTTATAGGTTTTAATTATAGGTTCCAGTTTTACAAATTTGGAGATTTGCAGCAAGATTATTCTTAAAAGAAGTTCAGTGTAAAGGAATTAACTTCACAGAGAGTAAAAAATGCCAGATTGTTTTCAAAATTAACCAAATAAAAAAACAAAAAAATTTATGGACGTTGCCGTATTTTTTTCGTGGCTAAATTTTCACAAAAGGATTAAAAACTAAGATAAAAATTTGCAAGGACATAACTTTTGGTTATATTGCATAATAAAAGTTGGGTATTCATTGGAAAACTTAAAATTTAAGCTATGTAATTAACATGCTCATTTTTACGAAATGTTTTCAAAATATTGCATTTTTAAAAACAATTTTGGACTTGAAAAATGTAATCTGGCAAACTAGAGCTTTTGTCTGAATCTCTCTTGTGACAAATTATTTGTGTGGGTGTTCAGGTTCATTATAAGAATTGCAAAAATATTTTGAATCTTTGTTTCCATCTTGAAGATTTTAGTCTCTCTTTTTTATACTAGTCATGGTAAGCAACCTTGTGATGGGATAGGTGGTACAGTCAAACGTTTAGCAATACTTGCAAGCGTGCAAAAAGGTATGGGTAATCATATTTTATTACCACAAGCAATGTACAAATATTGTAATGAAAAAGTGTACATTTCATTTATATATCATCAGAAGATTTAACTTGGGTGAGAAACACTCTTCAGGAACAATTGGATACTGCAAGTACTACAAAAACAGGACTCTTCTATTTAGCTAAAGACGACTTGAAAAAAAATGTTCAAGTCTTCTTTGGCTAAATAGTAAAAAAGTCCAGTTTTCCTTATGAAATAGAGATTTTTATATTTAAACTAACTTCAAATTTGCTGAGTCTGATATGTCTTATCGATACTTTTTTTTAATCTTTTATTTTTTGTACAATTTATAAATAATGTGAATGAAAAGCATATATAAAATCACTTAAATTGAGTATTTATTTTCCAAAAGTTTTTTATGGAAAATAAATACTCAACCTTATAATTTTGTTGTAAAAAATTAATAAAAACAATCAAGTTACTAAACTGTTAATTTCTAATTTGATTAATTTGTAAAATGTTGGGATAGATTGTCTGGTTTTTAAAATATCACAAAATTTTGTGTTCATATCTCAATGACTCCTTAAGTAAATGTAAGGCCAAAAAAAAGTTGTTTTGTAAAGTCTTATCTTTAAGAAAATAAAAATAAATTTTTTTTTCTATCAGTCAGATTTTTTTTATAGTTATAATTGTTAATGCCCTTTTTTATTGTTATTATTAGGTACATCATATGAATCTTAGAATAAACTACATTACCTTGCTTAGAGAGATACAAGACTAAAGTTTTCGGTCTTAGCAGGTTTTAAGCTCCTTTGTTACAAAGTTTCAGCATCACACCATTACTAAAAGCACCATATAAGGGTAATAATAAACGGAAATATTTTTGGAGCTTTTCTCCCCTCATTTTTCAGTCAAAATCAAACAAACTTCAAGTTGCTGTAAATCCTAAACAGATAAGAATTTTATAAAAAAAAATTTACAGTCTTTCTTATGTTATTTCTCTAAACATTTGTGCCGAATTTCAGAAAATTTGGTGATGTAGGGTGCAGATTTGTGTTTTTTTGAAAAAACTTTACTCTAATAGATCTTTTCTTTTTTTTTTTTTAACCAATTCTGCAATTATGCCATGCATTTGTTTCAAATACCATGCAGTATTTATCATTCTTAGGGAAGCAGAAAAATAGTTTTGTGTATAATTAATGTTCCAGTTCTCAGGAAACAAAGTCAGTAAGTTAAGTTTTTCTGATTTTGAAGATATATCAAATTTTGCTTTAATTAATTCTATAGGTGAGTTCAAGTCTTGTTTACTTTTGTCACAAATCTTTTGTTTTTGGGTCGTTATTAATTAAATCTGGAGTAAATTCCAAAACAGTAGATATTTTTGTTGCAGTACTGTTCTTATTTAAAATCCTTTTTGCATAACTAAACTTTCTTCATAAGCTACTAGTTTTAAAGATGAACAACCAAGGCTATCAGTGTTTGAATTACAGTTTTCTTTTGAAATTTAATTTTCCTAAGTGTAACATAAAATCTGAATTGCTTTCATAATCTTCTTTGTTCTTTTTAAAGTATTAAGTCTCCTTCGCAACAGCAACACTGACTATTCTGACATACTCTAAAAAGTAACAAAATGATAAATCTTTAAATAAATCATTGCTATTTAAATAAATTTTATTTTAATGTTTGTCAATTCATTTTGTTTTTAATTTTATTGTAATTTGCGTTTGTTAAATAGATCATAACTAATGCTTTTGTCAAACCAAGTCTCAAATTTATCCAAGTAACTTTCATAGTGATTACAAATTCACATCATGTAGTAAATTTAATTTACTACCTCGTGTGAATTTAAAATCAAATTTGCAAATATTTTAGTATTCTGTAAAAAGGCAATATTGTTAAACTCTGACTTCAAAAATATAAAGTATTTTTTTCATTGTTTTTACAGCTTTGGTATATATATATATATATATATATATATATATATATATATATATATATATATATATATATATATATATATATATATATATATATATATATATATATATTTACTATCTTTAATATATTGTCTTTTATATTTAGCTGTAAGTTATACAACTTCTGTGAGTTTGAAGCAACTGTGGCAAGACAGTATGCCCATTAGCTTATATGATAATGTTGTAAGTATTTTATTTATTTTTTTCTTGCAAAATAAATGATTGTCTTTATTTTCAAATAAATCACAAAAGTTCTTCAAATTAGATAAGTTCAATGTAGGCTAGGGTTGGGGTCAAATACGTATTTGTATTTGGAAAATGCTGATTGAATATATTTAAATTTGTATTTGAAAATCTAAAATTAATGTATTTGTATTTGTATTTGATCAAACGTATTTGACTAAGTATATAAGAGATAAAGTAATGAACATAATGGGTTACTATACTATACTATCATATCTTCATAAAATTCGTATAATTTATGACAAGGCATTAAAAAGCTTTTTCCTAATTTAGTGATGAAGTTTTTAATAATGTTGATATTTTTTTTTTTATAAAAATAAGCTATGTAATGATAATTTTGCCAGGAAGTTATGTGTAATCAAACACCTTGCAATGAAGTACTATCCGCTGATAACTTTTCCATAAAAGTAATATACAATCAGCTACCTTGCAATGAAGTACAATGATTTTTGAATAACCATAATCAACAACTATAAACAGCAACAACAACAAAAAAATTCTTCAAATTTTATATAATTTTGAATATCACTACTTTCAACTTGGAAGTAATAAGTAAATTTTTGGAGGCCATAATGTTTAAAGGGATCCCTAAGTGCTCCTAACATATGATCTCATATGAAAGAGCATAAAAAAAAAATATGTAAGTTTTTTTTCTTTTTCACTAAATTGTAATAATAAATGCATGCTAACAAAAAGTAATTGCCGAAATCACTAAAAAACAACTCCATTTTGGTTTTATTTTTTCAACATTGAAACTCAATTGTTAGTCGTTAAAAATCACGTTAGTACGTCACAACAACTTTAGAATATCTACTTCGATTTTCAAGTAAAAAAAAAAGTTGTGCTTAAATAGTTAAGTTTTAATCAAGTTTTTTTAATTAGTTTTGCAAAAACAGTATAATAGCATTCGGTTGAAAGACATTGTTAGAAAAAAGTTATTAAGTAATAGTTTTAAATAGTTTAGAACTTATAAAAAAGTCTTACAGGGCTCGTATTATGCGTATCGCGATCGCGATTGCTACACACACTTTTGTGATTAGTTTTTTCTTTAAAAAAATCTTTTCACGACTTGTTTTTTTTTTGGTTGATTAATTTTTTTTTTTCTAGCTTACCATTTTTTTTAGCAATTCTTAAAAGTAATGTTTTTATCATAAAGAACGTCACACAAAATTTATTATTCTGAATAGATAGATGAATAGATGATTTGCTCTTTCGCGCAGAGATTTTCTTTCAACGTAAAACATTTTTGAATTAAAATTACTTTAAATCTCTGCGTGGAAAATTTTTACAAGGTCGTTAAAGCGAAAAGTTGAAAAGTTTGTTTTTATTTTTGTTTATCAAAACTTCATGTTTAAAATAAGGCTTAGAAATGTTAGAGCAAAAAAAATTACTGACTTTTATTTGCATTTTTATACTGTTTGAAAAAAAAAACTAATAAAAAAGAATTAATTGTTATTATTATTAATTCTAATAATTATTAATTAATATATTAATTCTAATAATTATTAATTAATATATTATAATTCTTTTTTATTAGTTTTTTTTTTCAAATAGTATAAAAAAGCTAATAAAAACCAGCAATTTTTTTACTTTAACGTTTTTAAGCCTTATTTTAAACATGAAGTATAATTCGATTTATTAAACCAAATTTTTTTGTTTCATCTTCTATTGGAAAACTTGAAATAGAAAAATTGAATAAAAACATCAACCATTTAAATGAAAAACTTAATTATATTTAAACTTTTATTAGTCATTTAACTAAAACATTTTACAATAATTATTTTTTTTATAAAGCAAAAATGAGAGTAACCGTCACTTTTGAAACCATAAAAATTACTGAAATAAATTTATTTTTCTACTAAGGAAATATTTTAAATAAACTTTTATGTGTCTAAGTCAATATTAATTTGTTTTTAAAAAAAAAATTTTAATATACAAATATATTTTCACAAAATGCTACAAAACTTTTTCTTGTAAGTAATTATGTGTTAGTTGAAAAAAAAACGACTTTACTTTTAAATTTAATTACCAACTAATAAGTTTGCAATAATGACATTTTGTCTACTTTGTTTATTTTGATGTACAAACGTTAGTTTTTTGAGGCAATAGAGTCAATAAACTTTGGACAAGACGCATTTTTTTTAATCGAAGAAAAGCGATTTTTTGAAAATTAAATTTGTTAGTGTGTGTTCATTATTACGTTTTAGAAAAAATAATATACATCAAACATTTTTTTTAATGCTCTTTTATATACGATCATATCTTTATAGCACTTAGGGATCCCTTTAAAGTTGCAACTTCAAAAAAAAAGTTCAAAAAAAATTCAAACCTGTAAATCATAAAAATTTTAAGCAGTGTAAATTATGAAAATGTTGTATAAACATAGAAAGTGAGTACTTAACACAATATAAAGTTTTTGCATTTCATTATTAAGCCAATTTTTTGTTAAGTACAGAAGTTAAGTAGTTTACCATTTATGAACTGAGATTTCTAAAATGCTTCTGCAAACTTTTGGATACTTTTTACCAATACTTGCACCATTTTTCTATACAAAATACTAAATATTTTTCTGATTACATATATAAACTATTTGCAGCATATGAATTTGTGTCAACTTCAGTATGTCACCGTATTTCTTGTTGTAATTTAAAGATTACAATCGTGTTTTAAAATCCTGTTAAACTTGTCAAACACTTTTTTAAACCTGTTTATTTAATTTATGGTATGTTTTCAAAAAAAAATTATTTGTTTGGTTTTCAAAAAAAAAATTTTTGCATTAAAGTAAATGTTAAAGCTATGTTAAAGTTATTTATTTGTAGCAGGTAAATCAAGATCACAGCGTGGTTGTTACATGTAGTTTGTATTTGCCGTCCCAAGGGAAATTAGTATGTGGAAGAACGAATGGAACAATTTTTCTTGTTGATGCAATCAAAGCAGCATTGGCTCAGTTGATACAACCTGCAGAATCTAAATTAGCAAGTATATATTTGTGATGAATATTTAAAAATTAAGCATCTTTTCTATATATTTTTTTAAATCCAATTTGCTTTTTTGTAAATAACATAATAAAATCTGAAAAGTAATTTAAGTTAAATTTGTAAAATAAATATTTGCATGGGGTTGGTGTTAAATATCTTTTTATAGCGTGTACACGAAATAAGTGTGAAAGTAGAAAAACAACTAAAAGAAGGTACTCATTGACTTTTATCAGGAACGTATCAATTTTAATAAATTAATATAAGAAGATAAGATATTTCAAAGAAGTTAATTTATTCCTGTGGGTATCTAATAAAATTTCGAACTTTTGTTTTGGTGTTACGCATAGCGGTGCATGTGATGAATAAAATTGCCCAGCGCATTATTTTGCGCTCATAATACTGGAATACGTTATCAATGAGCGCGTCTTCGAAAGCGGTATTCAGAATTGGAAATCGGTTGCCATAGGTTGCCACCCATAAATTACGTACGCAAGTATGTGGAGGGGGTCACTCAAAAGTGTACCAGTGTGTACAAGGAAAAAGATGGACAATTTTTAGTTGAGTTTTTTTCATGTGAAGTCCGATTAATCAGACAAAAAAGCTTTGGTTTTTTAGTTAATGCATTTTTCTATCTACCAGAAAAAATATGTTACTGCAGCCAGAGGTAGGTTTTGTCACTCGCCAAGGAGGGTCCAAAAAGGTCTATAAAATAAATTTTTTTTTAAAAAAAGATCTTTTCACCCCCTCTTTATTTTTATTTATCAGTAACTTTCTTTTTTAATTTTTTGTACTTTAGTCTAATAATCAAGTTCATATATGTATATAGTCAATTTCATTCATCAGTATAATAGTCAATTTACAAAAGAATATGTCTGAAAAAAGTCCCAAGGAGAAGGGGGGTTCTACCCTTTTGCCCCCCTCCCCTCCTAAAACCTGCCATTGTCTGCAGGTTGTCATTTAAAATTATCAAGTAAATAATATTTTGTATACTTGATTATATACTTAATAAATATATAATAGACTTATACTAATATAACATAAATTAGTGTATATATATATATATATATATATATATATATATATATATGTGTGTGTGTATATATATATATATATATATATATATATATATATATATATATATATATATATACACTTATTTAAATACTGGCATATATTTTGAGAGAATGTTACGCCACTAGTTTGTGAAACTAGTGGCGTAACATTTTTCCTTTTGTTGTTTGTGAGTACACTTCCAAAAGTTTCAGTTCAAAGTTATATAACAAATATATTTGCTATAGGTATTGTTTATTGGAACTTTTTTTTTTAATTTTCAGTTGCATTAAGCTTAATTTTTAATAAATAGACTTTAATATAAGCTTAACTGATTCGAAGATACCAGTGAAAATATTTAGTTTTATATTAACTTATATTTGACCAAAATTTTTTTGATATTCCAACATTTTGATGATTTTGAATTTTAAATATAATAGTCATTAGTTAATAGAATGTGATCGAACCTGTACGAAATTGAAGCTTTAAGTGAAGTTTTAGTTTAATACTATAAATATTAATAAATATTAGGCTAGATTTTTTAACTTTTTAACATTTAAGTTTTGGGATTTTCATTGGAGTGTTACAAGTTTTGATATTTTATTACATGGACTTTTATGCAATTCAAAGTGAAAGTCTAGTTAAGCAAAGTTTTTTGTCAAATGGACCCAAAAAATATATATACAAGTTAGTGAATGGTTCAACTTAACCAGGGTACGATTAAGTGGATAATATGATAAAGTTCAACTGTAATTTAAAAAAAAATATATGCTGAATTTAGCTTTCAATTAGAAGAAATAGATCATTTTTTATTCCAATTCTTTTATTAACTCTCTGTCTGTTTGTTTGTTTATTTGTCTGTGAGCATCAAATCTTGCAATCAATTTTTGAGTCACTTCCTGATGATAGATTTTCTTCAAATTTTGCATACATACTCTTGCTTGATGACAATACAATATTCAATAATCAGTTTTGTAATAAATCACTTTATTTAGTCAATTTTAATTAAGTTTATTTTTAACATGGAAAAAAAAAAAGTTTTATAAATAAGTATATTGATTGTTTTCATACTTATACGCGCATTTAGCATATTTGGATAAGACTTCATAAATGGAATGTCTGTGGATTGCAACCTGTTTTTTTAAACACGCATACAGCCGAATGTTAATAAAATAATACAGTAAAATCAGAAAAAATTGATTGCAAAAATTGTGTTTTAACAACATATAAAAGCATTGAGTTTTAAAAATTTTTAATTTTTATTATTTCTTAATTTGAACTTATACCAAATAAATTAAAATTTAAATTAGTCACACATAAATCATGTGTGGCGTACTTTATAATGAATATAACTTCTTTATTTATCAATATGCAAACTCTACTGTTTAAACATATTTTGACCTTATCAATAAAATTTTGCAAAAAATATTTTCTATAAAGTCAACTTATAATTTTCTCTCTCGCAGTTCTGCAGTCAAGTGCAATTTTTTACTCTCGCAAAGAAACTAGCAAGCGCTATTTGCCGCACCCGGATGGTCGTTTACAGGCGTGTTTCACCCACTCCCGCTTTATCACAAGGCCTGCATAGGCTTGCGCACAGAATAACAATCAAAACTATTTGATGTTTTTTAAATGACATCTTCAAATTTTTAATGTTTCTGCATAGTTTTTATTTGTTAATTTTTTTACGTCTAATAATTACCCAGTACTTTGCAATAATTTTTAATAGTGGGCAGTTTAAAGTATTTGTTATTTTAGACAACTTTCAGGTCTTTTTTTTATACCATTGCATAGCCAGTTTGCTATAATGACTTTATGATAAATCAGAGCAGAACACATGTCTACTATCATGTGATTTAGTAGGAGGTAAATGATGTTTTTGTTAACACGCTTTAACATATATTTTATTAAAAAGTGTGGAATCAGAAATATAGGGTGCTGATGTTTTGTCACACCTGCAAATAGCTTGTCAAATCAAAGCTTTTTTAGTAAATTTATCATTTTTTCTGTATTAAAATTTCTTATCTGCTTTTCCTCTATATTTGGAATTATAATAGACTTCACCAGGAATTTGCTGATGATTATACTTCACATAAGTTTCATCATCTTCAATAATTCAGAAAATTTTAGAAATATAATTGTCATACAACTTTCTTCAGTGGGTTCTTGCTTTTTTTTTGAATTTCAGAACAGTTAGGCACTTTTTGTGATTTGAAAGCTTGAAAAACATGTTTAAATCAAACTTTTGCATCATAACAATTTGAAAATTCTCATATTTTAGTGCAATCCCTTAGTGAGAGGCTTGGATTATTCATAAAACTGTGAACTAGTTTTCTAACTAGTTTTATATCTTGAAAAACCTCCTTTCTTCCATTACCAGATTTGCATTTGATTGATTTTGTTTAGGAAAAACATTAAACAACATGACTAGCGATGTAAAAATGTATTTGCAACTTTTTTTTGCTACTGAATTGTAGCTAAATTCAGATTTTCCATAAAATTTGTGCATAATATTTTTTTTAATGTCTTCATCTTTTGTCATTTTTAAAACTTTTTTTAAGTGAAATGGGAAAACTAAAACATTTTTTTGAAATCATTACATGTTGCTAACAAAATACAAATACAATGAAAAATATACTAACACAACCACTGAAAAAAAAATTATGTATTTAGTCTTCCACATTTATTTTGTGTACACGCTTTATATGGGGATGATGTAACCAGTTTTTGGCACTTATATTCCAATAGTGCTATTGTGACCACCAACAATAGTACTATCACTTCCCCAAAAGATTTCCTGAGCCATGACAGACACTGTTTCAACAGTGAATAAGTTAATTGTGAATAATAAAAAAGAAGGTTTCAAATTAGTTAGGTTAGTTAATTTTTTTGTTTACATAAAAACTTTTTTTAAATGTCATTCAAGACTCACTGCATTCCATTATTTATCAATCCATTGTGCGTTGTTGTTGAGTTGTTAAAATCTATAGCAGCGCTTTTTGTTATTGTTATTGTTAATGTTATCATTGTTACTATTGTTATCATCGTTTTTGTTGTTGTTGCTGTACATATTTTCAAGCATAATAAAGTAAATTTAATTTTAGTTATTCAGAAAAATATTTTATTTACATTCATTTTAAGTCTCAAATTTAAATTTTAACTTAAAGTTTTTACTTCATATCAAAGAATGTGCAAATTTAAATTTAAATTTAAAGTTTTTACTTCATATCAAATAAAGAATGTGCAAGTTATTATGAAACACACACACAATATATTTTAGGTTCTAGGAATTGAAAATCTTACGATTGTATTGTCACATCACCTTTTCTAAAAGCACTATTGTTTGATATTTTTTAAATTCAATAAAAATGTTGAAATTCATATTATTTTCTATAAATAACTTAAATAACTTTGTTTATTTATTTATTTTTATTTATTTTTTTAATATTTTATATTTATAATTGTTAAATAACTTTTATTTAAAATCAATCATAATGACACAGTTTGACAAACGCTAGCAGTAAGCATAGATAAATAAATAATTACAGTTTAACTTGATATATTATCTGAAAAATTTAATATATAAATTTATCTTTATATAGGGCTGCCATTGTCTTGGTTTTTCCACAGAAGGTTGCTATAAAAGTTTTAATTTTAATTAGTTTAACTTTATGCTCTCCTCCGTAAAAATCAGGAAATGGCGCCCCATCTACGCAATGTAATCTTTTTGTTTTTGCTTGCCTTTATTTGTCTTGGTATTTAGTTAATAACAAAAAAGACCATTTAACATAAGTTATTTTTTTAATAACATCAAGCATTAGAGAAGGAAAGCCAAGTACAACTTACCAATACCTAAAAAAAAAAAAAAAGATCATGGTCATTAATACTTATGGTACCAAAAAAATACATAAGAGCTTAGTTATAACAGAGTGTTACAATAAAGCTGCCCTT